GCCTTTTGTTGCCTGTGTTTGACATTTGAGAGTGTAGCGATAGACAGGAAAGCATATGGAGAGAGAGAGGAGGGTACAACATACAACACATTCCTTGCTGGAATCAAACAAAGCATGTTGTAGTTCTGACCGTTCAGATAGCAGTGTGGCATGTTGATTACATTTAAAGGATTAATGGTGAATTCTGTGAAAATGGAGCGAATATAAGCACCCAGAGCTCAACACATTCAAGTAGCTCATTTTCATCCATTAGTCCCCAATTTAAAGGTATTAATTATTATTTCCAGGAATGTAAAACAAACGAAGGCAGCAAATATTCACAAACTGAACTGAGAACTGTGCTTTAGAAATGTCTAAAAATCAAATCCTCATTTCAGCACAAGTCAGAGCTAACATCATCAGAGATTAATCTCTTTTGAAAGCATAAAAAAGGTACATTCCACATATCACATGTTTCAGTGTGCGGCCACTCCGGCTGGGTACAACATTAACAGAGAAATCCATGAATGAGAGCAACTCACTGCAGCATGAAACCTGTCATGTAAGAGAGGGTTTTTCTGAATGCAGCCTGCCTCTCCTCTGCCATTACACTCAGGCTGTTTTCTGCCAACCCTTCATTATCCCAGGCAGGGCTCAAATACACACACATTATCCCTTTTCGACCTGCACTCATATGCATGTGTGTGAGAGTCATGTCGCAGCTCCGTGGTTCATCGCCTGCCTGCCGTCGCACACATCACACGCTCCATAATAAGTGTTAGATGCTCACCTGCGCACCTGCTGTGCACGCTTGTGTGTGTGTGTGTGCGTGTGTGTGTGTGTGTGTGTGTGTGTGTGTGTGTGTGTCTGAGTTAGTCCAGGGGGAATTACCTCTGTTCACAATGCAAAAGATGATTAACCCACACACCCACACACAAAATCAATCGTGTTTCTGCAAGGTATGAGGTATGAGTACACATACACGCACACAAAAGCATGAAAACACCTTCATCACGCTGCTGTAACCATGGAGAAATCAGGAGAGAAGCAACAGACACGGGCAGAAAGTGTGATGGGAGAATAGACGGCGACTTGAATAAATCCTTGAGAAGAAAATTGTTGGTACAAATTCTTGAAAAGTTGGTGAATGTTTGCTTTTAACTGTAAAAACTGCAAAATGATCTCAACAATTAAAGATAATTTACTGTTTGTTGTTGTTTTTCTGAGGAGTGAAGCACCTCTGGAGCTTCCACTCGTATCACGTTATTCATCTTTTTCTCCAGACAAATGGGCAAAATAAAAAATGTGAACTTTTCTGTAGAAGCTCCATCTGCAGATAAAGATCATGTGGAACAACAGCCACCAAATGGACACTGAGTTCTGTTCAGAATGAAGTTAAAAAATGTTCAAATCTGAATATTACTGTGTGGATTATGAGGCCACGCTGGGTAAAACACTGTTACTCTGGATTATGAGAACGTGGCAGAAACTTAATGTGAAAGCAACGTTTCTGCATTTTAATGGCGGCCATTAGGATTAAAAGTCATTCTGTTAATGGGCCGTTGTGTGCTTTAAACACATGCTGCAGCTTTGAATTGAAAAGCTTAACTAATGGCTTGTCTTTGCTTTGCAGGATCAAGCACGAGAACATTGTGGCTCTGGAGGACATCTATGAGAGCCCCGACCACCTCTACCTGATTATGCAGCTGTGAGTCAATACTCCTTTTGTGTTTGTGAGATTTGTGTGTTCGTCTGATGAGAACAGAAACCTCTGAATCATCCGTGTGTCCCTCAGAGACCATTTAATCGGGTGACCTGGTGATGGCGCGCTGTGTGCTGGCACTTAAAGGGCTATTCCACCAAGTTTACACAGTGAAACTCGGTTTGTCTGACATGAGACAAAGCGCTCTGTTGTATATTGTCTTCCATAGCTCTAGACTTTTTGGGGTATTTTACTTAAAGGAGAGAGATGACAAGAACAAAGATCAGTATTTTTTTCTGTTGCAAGATTATACAAACAAGAGGTACAATCTTTGAAAAAATGAAAATTTAGGAGGCACGGACAGACTAATGCCGAGTGCAACAAACCCAGGAGCCAAAACCAGCCGCAAGATGATTTTATTGTTTTAGTTTTTTATTGATTCTAAGCCTTTTCTTCTTAAAGTTATATGTTCATTTTCCAAAGCATATAACATTTACTGCACAGCGTGTACACACTTGGTGTATTTAGTTTTTCGGTGTGCTGAGATTAGTTTTTTATCAGAGATTTTTTTAAGTGTGTGTTCAAGTGTTGCCCCATAAGAGGGACCAACCAAACCAGTGGCTCCCCTGGCTGTTTGACTTTGGCACACCTTATGAAAGGAGGAACAGACATAGTTGCATTATGGGAAATGTATTATTATTTTTTGTTGTTGTTGATTGTTTTTTACTCAGGCTATTTTGGCCTCTGCTGTTACTTTTTTTAAATCTGTGTATTGCAAGTCCCAATTTTTGCTTTTATCCTGACAGATTTTTAGTTTATTTTTTTAAATTAAGAGACAAAAATACTACTGTAATAGTTGTGAGTTATGTGTTTGGTATTATTGAATATAAAAAGTAGAATGTTTAAGAAAAAGCTCGAAGAAAACACCAAGTCAGAGTGCATATGTCTGATTTGATTAATAGTGGTTCACAATTTGCATAGGGATGTGTAAAGATTAAATGACTAATTCATAAAACACCATGTACCGTTCGTGCCAAAAAAATTCATAATACCTCATCCTCTGTTTTTCTCACTTTTAATCTCATTCTTCTGCCCACCCACCCATCAGCACACAAACACACACATAAAAAGCCCACCCGTCCTCCCACGCACACAAACAAACCACACAGCTACTGTACAAGGCCTCTATCACATCATCTCTGCTTTGATGGTCAGCGGTAGAGGAAAGCTGGATCGCCTGTGGTCCACCCATGGGTGCCCTACTAACCTCCTCTTCAAGGTTAGACCTGCTTACATAAACGGAGAAGTTGGTCTGGAAGTTTGGCACTCGCGCTGGAAACATTTCAGTCCATCTCAGGTGGAAGTCATGGCTGCACGTTACACAATGGGGCCTCTGTTTACAAGCCGATGTCAACGGATTATCCGTTCGACTACTACATGTGTTCGATTTCTACGGCAACTCAAAAAACAAAAAATTACAAGTTTGCTCTTGCAACCCTGCAAAACCACACTTGTTTTTAAAAATTCAGGGAATGAACTCGTCAGTAAATATTTTTCTTTCGACTGATATTACGCTGATATGAAACAAGACAATGCAGTGTTAACCCATGTTTGTTTTGTCAGCTTGCACTCCGTCAGCAGGTTTTAATAGTGAAGACAGTCGGTGTGTGTATCGCTGCGTAGATCCTAGCTTTGTGTATCCCGTCTACAATCTTGTATCTTTTCCAAAGAAACTGCTGCATCGCTTCAGGAGATGAGACGATTTCCAGCCAAGACTTACTGACTCATGTTAAAGCCTCCATGACCTACTTTTGGAGACAATCGCTGCTCCGCAATATTGATCAGTGATGCAAAACAAACACTTACTTCATAGATTTGGAATAACTGAATTTATTACAAACATGAAAGAAGAGCGTTTGTTGTATTGCTCAGAGGGTGAACAGGTTTCTTGCCCTTCCTGTGGTCTAATTCACCTCATATAGGAGTTCTGACATAATCGATTAAAACGTTGGATGATTGTCAACTCTTTAAGCCCTGGACGATTTTTCGAAACTTCCCTGCATTTGCCTGAACAGCTGCCACACTGTATAGCCAACGTGAGCAACCGAGAGCTCTGTGGATAAAAGACTCCTGAGAGACATTGAAATGCAGTAAGTCTCCTCATCCTCATCACCAGGCCAGAGCGAGATTTGAAAAATTCCCAGCAAAAACTGACAATACAACTTAACAGCCTTGTAACAATGAGTCAGGGACACTGGTGTTGTTGAAAATGGCCGAGAATGTTTCACCAGCAGCCACACCAAACTTGATGCAACAGAAGTGAAGCACAGCAAATGTTGCATCCAGTTTTGTCATCGTAGTACAGGTGGCAACCTTCAAAAACAGCACTGGTTGCATTTTCGTTACAGATTTGGCCGTGATCCCAGAACAGGAACCTTCAAAGGTGGAAGAGGTTAAATTTGCAGATTTAAGACTGAATAAGTTAAGAAAGCTCCAACCTGTTACAGGTTTACATCAAACTGAGAATAATACTTTATTAACAACGTCCAGGCAAGTTCAGTCACAAATGTAAACGGAACAACTGTGTGTGTAACAACTTGGACAATCTGATGGTGTGACTGTACAATAAGATTCAATCCATGCTTTCTGCAGACCAGTGCAGACACACAGTTTTGTTCATGCTACGAAACTGCATGGTGTTGCCCCTCATACTGAACACAGAAGAGCAAACGGGGCAATTCATACAGGACATAGCAGCTACTTACAGTTTGAACTATAGTCCTCTGTCACTTCCTGTCCCTGAGGCGTGTGGAGCACAGTTGGTGGACATAGCAAAGGGTTTCTGGAGAATTTAGTGCTGCCTGCTGTGTTTCAGCTCCTTCAGTGGAAAGAATGTGCAAATCAAAGCTCCTCCAAAGTCCTGCAGCCACGACTTCAATTACAGCTCTTTTAAAGATAATTTATAATGAATGATGGAGAATCTTCTCGTACAGTGTCTCCATTTGTTTTACAGGCTCATGTGCATTCGGAACATAGACTGTATAAAAGATGGACGTAGCTACCGTGACGTCACCCGTTGGTTTCTGCACTGAGAAAATGAAGCCAGGGTTTTGCTACTTCCTGGTTGACATCTTGGATTTTTGGAGCCAGTGACGCAAAAATCCTCAGGGGGGGGGAGCCATAGGAGCAGCGATTGGTCAGACGGATTGAGAGGCGGGCCCTCTCTGCCCGCCCACATTTACCGCCTTCTGCTCGCTTCGTCTGCATCGTTGCTGCCGACTGTCAATCAAGCCAGCCACGCCCCTTGCCCCGCAAAATGCTGACGATTTTTTTAAAAATTCTGTATTGATTTATTTTCAGATTGGCCACCTGATCTCTGGATTTGACCATGAAAACTAATAAGAAATAAATCCTGAGCTGTAGGAATGCAGCATTTCATGATCTGTGATCACTTCTTTTCCAATTCAAGTCTACGGGAGCCAGGGCTTTTTGGAGCCAGCAACTAGCGGACGTAGGTTTTTGACACTTCCGGGTTGGCTTCATTTGTCAGGGCCAGTTGCTACGTCCATCTTTTATACAGTCTATGATTCGGAGCAGAAAGCATGAACTGACTGTAATACCACCCCACAATAAGATGCTCAATCAACAGGTTAATGTCACATAGGCAGCGTTCCACTGCAGAAACTCAAGGCCGGCTCAAGGTGGTGCAAACGTTCACAGCAGTGGTCCCATAATTGTCCATTTCAGGTGCTCTGTTTGTATTGCAGTATAGGATCTGACTCAGAGTGCACCGAGACAACGACAAACTGTAGTTACTGGACTATCAGCTTGAAGATAATAGAACAAAGGAGGATTTTGAATTTTACGTGAAGATGGCGATGTTAAAGAGGAGGACACTGCTACTTTACAAATACCTTGAGAAGATAAATGACGCTAGTTGTCCCCTACTAGTTTAACCAATCAGCATTTATCTTCTCAAAGTTGAACCAATTAACAGTTAGACTCACACATCTTTGTTTTCAGAAGGACCCACCCTGAAGTCATCCTGGAGTCATAGAACAGCTCACAGGGTCCTGTTGTAAGGTCAGACCTTATCTGAAGATGGAAGTTTGAGCTGACACTCATATTTAATGGTTTTTATGTTTATCAGCAGATGAAGCAGCATTTGTCACATTAACTGAAGAAAAACTGTGGAGTTTCTACAATAAATGCACAATATTTCCCAGTTAAAGCCTCACAAACAAGATCAATCTTTAATGCTTTAAACTAGATTTATTTATTTTTGCCGAATAGTGGCAACTGTTGGTATAATTATGCTAAAATTGTAAAAGTACTGTAACATTAGTAAATCATTAAGGCGGTGATTCTACCTGTTTTACAATATTATCTATGTAAACTTTTCAAACATTAGCGACTGGTTATATCACACCAAATGAAGCTGTAACATTTAAACCACACAGTGTATTGAACTAAGCAAAGATACAGTTTTTTCTGCCCCTTAATTTGACTTTTCATCTGTCAGAGAGAATGTGTTACTTCAGCTTTTTGCAAATGTTAATCTCTAGCTCCTGCTTCGTTCGCTAAGAAGCTAAAACGACGATAACTGCTTGAAGAAAATGATCACTTTCAAGTCCCATCTGCTCAGGTCGCCTCTGACACTCAAACAGTAAATTAAGAAACAAATTCAGCCGCTCACTGAGCCGAGTTGCTTCGCCACGTCTGCTGTTACATCACTTCAAATCCCCCGTTGGCCACACTCCAGTCTGTGGCCTTAACGCAGATTAAGCTGTTTACCTACAATAACCTTCTGATTAAGTTTCCTGTTGTCATGAATAAACCAGTTAAGAGTATTTCTGTTTCGTGGCCAGCTGCTGCCACCGGTGTGTTTGTTTACTACTGTTTGTTAGAGGAGGAGGAGGACGGGATGATCTACGTTGACTTTACTGAGAAATAAGTTGTATTACAGGTTCAGACTTTTAGTGCGATTAATTACGTCCGGGGCAGTG